GGCAGGTGAGCAAATACTTTTGGCAATATAGTGTATGTGTGTGTGTATATAAATAAATAAAACTGTAAATCCAGATGGATACCTTTGTATCATTCAATTGTTTTTAATTCTTTTTAACCTCTCTGAAAACTATGCAAACGTAAAAAATTAGATGAATGATGTTTAAATAGATGAATCAATTAATTCATTCATATAACTAGTGTCAGCTGTGCACCCATTAAGACTCCAGGCTAAAACAGAAATAAATGGTGTTCCCACAAAACACTAGTTTTAGAGTTTGCAGACTTTTGATGAATCCGTTTGTTTTTAGGCTGAATGGCAAATCAGTCGAATTCATGAAGTGAAACAGTTTACATAGCTCATTGGTATTGTAAAAAAATAAAAGTTTTGATTTGAATTTCATGGTACATTGCAGCTGTGTGAAAAAAAAATGAAATTCTCAATTGTGAATCATTCCTGTATTAATTCTTTACCACAAATCGATTTCTTTTAAAATGGACTTTCCACTGTTCTCACAGCCACCAGTGATTAACATTACTTCATTAATTTACTGCTGAATGTTAATATAGTGCTAGTATTAAAATGTTGCAACTACACAGACATTTAATTCAGGTAACACCTGAGGTTTTTAAGCTTTGAGATTAGATTGGACCAGATCACCAGGAACGGATGATAAATCTTGAGAAGTTGAATAGATTCTTGAAATTTGAATTGATATCCAGCTCTATGCTGAATCTTATATCTATTAGTCATGTTTTATCATCTATTTCTAATATTTATTAGTAGGGATGTCCCACTCTGGTGATGGTTTTGGAAACTGGTTTGATAAAGAAACTAAACACTGGAACATATCAAACTTTGACTAAAATCCTTTGATATAAGCAAGCTGATAGAGACAGTTCCCCTCTATTCTGTTCTTTTTAGAGTTTCTGTAACCCACTGGTTAATACAGGCATCCCCAAACTCAGTCCTCAAGGCCCCCTGTCCTGCAGGTTTTAGAGGTTTCCTTGCTCCAGCACAGCTGATTTTAATTGAAAGCTGATTAACAGGCTTTTGGTCTACTGCAATCATTATAA